ATTCCTGAACCTGCCAGCTTCTCCCTGCCTCCAGGGTCTTTGCCTGTGGATGCCCCCTCTGCTTGGAATGCCATCTCCCCATCCTGGGGGTGCCAGGTGATATAGGGAGGTGGCTCACAGCAATCTCCTCCCACCTCAAGTCTTTATAGGAAGGGAGGGCGTTGGGGGAAAGGTTGCTTATGCTCTTCCAGTTTGCAAGCTGCTCCAACTTGGTGAGCTCTGATCCATTTCTATCCCCAACTAGAGGCAGCAATTCTGGCTGGGACTGGTGCTGCCACGTGGTATGACCCTGGGTGAGTCGCTCTCCTCCTCATGGCAGCAGGGCACAGGGTGAGGCAGAACAGGCTGTTGGTACTTCTTGCCTGCAGTCCCCAACCTCTCCCCCACCTACTCCTAGCTCAAGAAATGACGCCGCCCTCCGTCCACCCCACAAACCCAGTGGCTGGAGGACGAGGTAGCCCCAGACTGTGAGCCATTGGATTTAGCCTGGGCCCTCGCAGTATCCCCAGAGACTACATCTGAGCAGTGGGGTGGGTCCTATCCGCCTCTGGGAGTGGGTGGAGGCTGGCTGCTGGCAGGAGAAGGGAGACTAGCCTATCCTGGAGCTCCCTCTAGTGTCTCCAGTGGGGCCTGCAGCCTGTCCTTTAGGCAGGCGGGGCCTGGGTTTGTCTGAACCTAAGCCATTTCACCAACTCCTGCTTCCACCTTCATCACTGCGGGTTCACCCAGCGGAGATGCCAGGGTCCACTGTGGCCTTCTCCCTCTTTCTCAGGCCCAGCAGACACCACGTGCTCTTGTTTCCTCCCCACACGTGCCCACCCCTGCTCTCCACTCTCCTCCTGTCCTAATTCAGAGCGTGGCCTTTCCCTGCAATATTTCTACTCTTGTCCTGCATCTTCCACACTCCTCCCCGAAGGAACTCCAATCACATGCAAACCTGATGGTGCAAGTCCCCTACTTTAACTCTTTCCACGGCTCCCCAGTGCCCCCAGGACAAAGTGCAATCTTACAACCTCTGCACGAGATGTTCTCTGCTGTCGCGCCAGCCTTACCTCTGATCACAGCCCCTCCACATCCTGATCTCAGGAGATACTCACCTGCCTGTGGTCCCTGAAGGCACGATGCCATCACTCACACCCGACCCCTGCTCATGCTGGGTCGTCAGCCAAGTCTGTCTTCTGTCTGCTCTCTTCCTGGAAAACTCCTATTCACTCTCCAAGGCCCTACCTCCTCTGGGAAACTACCTCTGGCAGCTGGCCTTTCTGTCCTGGGGGCTCCCACCAGACTCTGAGCAAGCGCCTCCTAGCACTACCCATGTGTCTGTCTTTCCACTAGATGTGAGCTCCCCAAAGGCCAGCGCTGAATGGTCCTCGTATAGAGTAATCATCTGCTATGTGCCCTGCCTGAGAGTGCAGGAGGGGACAGGATGGGGGTGACAGTGTGGGTCCACTCTGTGGGGAGCACGCAGTGGGCTGGATTACAAGGACTTTGGGCTTCAGGCTCAGGCATTTTGACTTGGCCTGAAGGTAACTGGAAGGTATAACAGGCAGGAGATACAGTTTGGGATTTGGAAAAGTCCTTCTGGCAGTTGGTATAGAAGCCAAGGTGCTGTTTTGGGCATTTGTGGGGGTGCTTTCGTTTTCATAATGACTGGTGGGCACCACTGGCAGGTAGTGGGTGGGGCCCAGGATGCTGGACACCCTGCCACATGCAGGACAATCGGCACAACAAAGAATATCCCACAGGGGAGTAACCAGTTAGCTCAGTTGGTTAGAGCGTGGTGCTGATAACACCAAGGTTGCCAGTTCAATCCCCACATGGGCCACTGTGAGCTGCGCCCTCCCTAAAAAAAAAAGTCAGCTATGCCATTGTAGCATGAAAGCAATGTGTAACCAATGACCATGGCTGTTCCTCAATAAAGTTAAAAAAAAAAAAGAATATCCCACATGCCCTTGGACTTCTGGGTGTCCTGCCCGGCCCTTGTGTAGAGGGAAAGAGACCTGTTTCTAAGTGTCTGAGCCAAGCACAAGTCTTGCATATAAACACAGAGCATTTTTGTATGAATGCTCTGAATTTTAACAGACGCTGCATCTGCTAGAAATACAGCTTCCATGTAAATTGAAGGAAGATTGCTTTTTATCTTGTTCAGAAGTTGTCACCATACTGGAAAATTATGTACTTAATGTCAGCACGACTTGTGGTATTTGAGTTGCTAACTTGACATTCTCTTTATAGTCTGCACTGTGGCTGTCACATTCAGGGGGGTTCTAGGGATAGGCACAAGCTTCTTGTTATTTTATTATGTCTTCTAGTGAAGTCAATAAAAGTATTTACTGCTTGAAATACACATCATCTTAAATTACCTTCCTTATTAGTTTAACCAAAAACTCACTTATCTCTTAACATGTGCCAGTCAATGTTCTAAATGCTTCATGAATAATTACTTGTTTGTTCCTCATAACAACTCTATGCAGTAAAGCGCTGCATAAGGGGGGGAAAAATCCCTTTTTAACTGGGAGCTAACTGATACAGAGAGGTTAAGTGACTTACCCAAGGTCACACAGCTGGGATGTGTAGAAGCCAGGATTTGAACCAGAGTCTGTGCACTTCACCACTAGCCTATAATGGCTTGCTCTGATATTTCAGTTAGAGCACTGGGATGATTTTATTTTGGGAATTATATGCATATGAATGTCATTTCACTTCTGGGTAACCGCGTGATGACACAAGATACTTGTTACCAAGATATTTGAAACAGGGTGAAGAACCCCTGGTGGAAAGCTCCTGAGAGAGCCTGGGCATGGGTGTGCTCACCCAAGGATGTGAGAAGGGCCGGGGTTGGGGAGCAGACCCTGACACCCGCCCCCAACATTTTGGTTGGAAAGAGAGCAAGGGACAGCCAGGAAGACAGAAGGGGAAGCCAGGGGATAGAAGCCTGGAGGGGTCTCGGAACGGCCTCAGAGACCCGGTGAGGTCAGGGCTGAAGGTGGTCCCATATTTTGCCACTAGGTGGCGCATGGCAGCCGCAGGACAGGGGCTGGGGGTGTGGTTTGGATGGGCTCGGACCTGGCGCCTTTCTGACTTCCAGGCTCATTTTAAAAGCTCGAGTGTTTCTATCTGCGTATCCAGAGACCCAGGGGGCTATGGAGTCTTGCCATCCTCCTGCTCGCCCCCTGGGACTTCTTGGCTCTCTTGGGAATCTCTGAGAAGCAGAATAAAGAGAAGCTGTACTGCCACCTCAGCTTACCGCTGCAGTCCCCCCTGAACGGCGCAAGACCCCCAGTGGATGCCTGGTGATTGTATGAACCCTAGATACACTGTGTTTTCCTATACAGACATACTAATGATAACATTTAATTTGCAAACCAGGCACAGTAAGATATTAACGAGAATATCTAATAAAACAGAAGATTTATATAACAATATATTGTAATCAAAGCTATGTGGATGTGGTCTCTCTTTCAAAATATCTTATCGTACTCACCCTCCTTGTGATGACGTGAGACGATACCATGCCTAAGTGATGAGATGAATTGAGGTACTCAGAACCGCATGCGATTTAATATTAATACTTACGAATTGTTTATTCTTGAGTTTTCCATTTAAGATTTTCAGACTGCGGTTGACCATGGGACACGGAAGCTGCAGAAAACGAAACCGTGTGAAGGACTATTGTAAAGACCTACATGGTGGGAACTGTTATTACCCCCATTTTACAAACGAGGGAACGAAGGCCCAGAGAAGGAAGTCCTGTGCCGAGGTCACTCCACAATCCGTGGTAGAGCTGGGCTCACACCTGGATCTATTTAGCTGAATGGCCTGTGCTTTCCTGGGAGTCAAGAGGGACTCCATGCAGGCGGGGGCAGCTCCTGGTGTATGTGACAGGCAAGGAGTTAAAGTTGATTTGGGAGGAGGGTCCCAGACACCAAGGAGCAACCCTCACTGCTGAGGCAACAAGACTCGGGGCAGGGATGTGGACAAGGGCCCCCCCACCCCAGGCCTCTGGTTCCCTCCCTGAGCACTTCCCCGGATTGCAGGACCAGTGTAGCCACCCGCCGTCCATGCCGTGTGAGATGCCCACTGCTCCCTCCCCTGAACTCCCATGGACAATTGCCCATCCATCCAGCACAGCACGGAGCACCCTCCATTGCTGCTCAGATCTGTCTCTCCAGACTGTGCCGTCCGGATATCAGGGACACACTGCAGAGCCCAGCACAGGGCCTGGGTGTCTTGAGTCCGTAATCGCTGAGTTGGGCCAAGGTCAGGAAGCCCTTCAGCAAGAGGACTCTCCCTCCTGGTGCTGAGGGCAGTGGAAGAATGGGCTGGTTTTTTTGATGTTGCAGTGCCTTTGAGATAACCACGGTTCCTGGGTCTAGGTCCCCTGAAGAACTCCTCCTCTACCCAAACAACGTTGCCCTCTCCATCCTGGAGCAAGCAAATATCAATGCAGCAGGAGACTGTAAGGTTAGACAATGGGAAAGACTTCCCAGCAGGGGAGCAGCACAGCTTGCTTAGTGAGAGCTGACATTCAGTAGAACGGGCTGCCTTGGATTACAGTGAGGTTTCTGGAGTCGCCAACAGCAGAGGTGAAGATCTAGGCCAAAGGAGAGACATGGAAAAGGTGCAGTTTGGTTGGTGAGGGTGGAAGGAGAGACGGGGGCCTTTTCCTGAGGGCCATGGTGAGAGGGGCTGTGTGGGACCACGGGACATTGAGAAGAAAGAGTCGCCATGAGTGGTGGTTGACTGAATGTGAGGCGAGAGAGAGGGAGGCTGCAGGGTAAGGGGGTCCCTTGCTCAGGGGGGAGCACTGCGAAGGAACAAGCTGAGTGGGCGGAGCTGGGGCTTCTGAGCAGACAGAGGTCTGGGAGGCCTGAGACTGGGCGCTCTGGCCTGGGCTAGGGAGGCAGGCCCAGGCGGGGAGGAGATGGGGGGCGGTCCACCAGGGAGAGATAACTGAGGGCTCGGGAGTAGCCGGCATCTTCTGGTGAGAAGAACAGCCCCACAGAACAGACACTTCTCGGAGGAGGCTGAGGCAGCACAACCTGAGAGGTGGGAGAAGGGGGTGTGTGTAGGGGTCTGGGGGGAGACAGTGGTGTGCACTGAGACAAGGTCACGCCCACAGGGGCCCCTGACGCCTGTCTGGAGCCCTGGGCCTTGGGGAGACGGGGTGGGTCAGACCCCTCCTCTAGAATCCTCCTGGAGGTGGAGCAGCCTAGGAGGGCCGGGTGGGGAGGAGGCGGGGGACGAGGGAGGGAGGGGCTGGGCCTCTGTCCACGGCATTAGTGCTGGTTGGAGGGAGAGGGGGGTGCGGAGCCAGCCAGGCCGCCTGTTCCCATAGCCTCCGAGCACAGCGTGCTGCCATGGCGCTGGCCAGGCCTGGGGCCGGGGAACCCAGGCTCCCAGCTCCGTTCCTGCTGCTGCTGCTGCTGCTCTGGGCCCCTGCCCTTGCACTCCTGGCCGGTGAGTTGGGGAACAAGACTTGGGGGGTTGGGGCACGGTCTGTCTCCCAAAACAGACACCCCAGGCCCTGGAGCTGTCCCTGTGGGTGCTGGCCCGACTGTGGGCTGAGTTGTGGGGTGCAGAGGGGTACACTGCAGTGGAGAGGAGTGTGCCCTGGGACTTGGGGGCTGAGGCGTGTCGGGGGCTTTGTGAGGGGGCTTAGGGCCAGCTGTGATCTGGGTAATGGGGTGCGCTGAGAGTCTCGGGAGGGTGTTGGGCTGGGGAGTTCTGAGTTTTGAGGCCTGAGTTTGGGGAGTCTGTTGTGAGTCGTGTGCTGAGTTGTGGGGTACAGGTGGGGTGTGTTCAAGTTGCGAGGTAGGATGAGCTGTACTGGGTGAGTCTGAGTTGTGTCTGAGGCTTCCTGGGTGTGGTAGGCTGTGTCCCGGCGCGAGTTGTGGGATGTAAGTTATCAAGTGGGCTGAGCTGTGTCATGGGGGCATGGGGTGGGGGCAGCAGACCCCAGCCTAGTGGATTGGGTTGGAGAAGGGAAGGAGACCCCGGAGAGCAGGTGTCTGCTTGCACACCCCCCCCATTTGTGCCGTAACCCTGCCTGCACTGGGGGGCTGCAGGTGCTCTGGGATCCTCAGGGGGTGGCTGGGCCCTTGGGACTACCGTGTCAACTGCTGCCCCCTCTCTAGCGTTCTCAGACCAAGCTGAAAGGGATTCCCGAAGCCAGACCCCATTCGCCAAGCAGTTTTTGCTTTTGTCCAAGTGGATTCACGTGTGCTCGGGCCTGGACTCCTTCCTGCGGGTTCTGGGGGACGCTTTGTTTTGGTCACTATAGCTACCAGGCCAGGCCTGGGAAGTCCCCCCGCCACCACCACCACTGCTGGAGAAAGGAGGCAAGCAGGCGGTGGCCTGGGCTCCACTGAGGCTAGGGGAGCCCCCACCTCCTCAGACTCCCAAGGTGTGGGATCAAGCCCTCCCAGGCCCCTACCTGGGGTCTTCCTCCTGCCTTTCATGGGCCCCAGTTCACAAAGCCTTCATCTCCTCCTCTCTGCAGAGCCCTTGGGGAGGATGAGGACCTCAGTTTACTATGGAGGAAACTGAAGCTCAGGGAGAGATGGGGGCTTATGAGCTGGGCCCCCCAGGCAAATCTGGGGCTCGTGAGAGGAGCTGGGTGCCTGCTCTGTGCTCTCTGTACCGAGGGGCATAAAATCCTGGTCTATGGATCTGGTGTCTGTCCCTTCCTCTGCAGTGCGTGCACACGCGCGCGCACACACACACACATGCATGTGCAAACACAGTACACGCCTGCCCCTACACAAACACACACATGCGCACACACACACATCACACCTGTGCATACATACACACAGTGCACACTGGCTGGATTGATTGCACACAGGCACACACCACCACATGAACAGGTGTCCACAGGCACATGTAGACCCACCACGTGTGCACTTACACACGCATTTCCCCCTACATGTGCCTATACCCGCCAATGACACTCATGCACATTTATATGAACCTTGAGGCAAAATGAACGCAAAGATCTGTGTTGTAGAAGGGAACGGACTCCGATGTACATACAGCCCTGCTGGGGTTCCCGGGGGCAGCCTTTCCCCTGCAATATCTGTACAGGGAACTCCCCTCCCTGGGCATCCCCGAAAGCTGGGGTGGGAACACTGCAGGCATGAGCATTTCTGGATGCCAGTACCCCAGGCCTGAGTACCAGGAAGAGAGGGCCTGGGGATTGTGTCACCTGAAAAGCAATTTCCATCCCAGAAGGGATGGGGGTTCTGGAGGCCCTGGGCCCCTGGCTCTGCTACCCACCCCTGCCCGGCCCCTCCATTCTAAGCCCACTCTGCCACAAAGGCCCCGCTGGTTGCTAGGAGAGGACCAAGCATCTTGGAGTACAATGGGGGACGCTGGGCTCTCATATCCCTCCCTGCTCCCAGAATACCAGAGAGCCTGGCTGACAAAGGCAGCAGGCCAGTCCCCAAGTCTGGCCCCTCCTCCAACCAGAGCTGGGTGGGGGCCTGCAGGACAGAGGCAGGGAGCAGAGAGCCACACACACATGGCCCAATGTCAGGATTTGTTGGATAGTCAGTGTTTGCCCAAGTAAAGATTTGTTGATGAATGAATAAAAAATACCACCAGCCACTACATGGCAGGTGCTATACTACTGGACTAACATGATCGAATTTCATTCTCACAACAGCCCTACGAAGTCAGCTCTGATACACCCAGTTTACAGAGAAAGGAAACGAGGCCAAGAGAGGGTCAGTAACTTGCTCAGAGCTAACAGGTGTCAGGGCCAGGATGTCACAGCAGACTACGGTACTAGCCTACATAAAGTCCCATCTCTTCTCTGTGCCTCTGTCTAAAGGGGACAAACCAGCTAACTGCCAGCGCTGTCACAAGAACGTGATGAGAAAATGCAGTGGTTCCCCAACTTAGCTTTGGCATGGAATCCCCAGTTTCAAAGGAAATTTTAGACAGACGCTGGAAGCCCACTAATAGTTAAACATTAATGACATAGTTTTAAAGTCGCCTATTGGGGTACCAGGGTAGAGCCCCACATGCTCCCTTAACCTCACCTCAGGAAGTGCCTCTCTGGCCCAAGGGCTCTGAGACTACGGTTTGGGAACCCTGGGAGTGCCAGTGCCAGGCAAAAGGTAGGCTGTGAATCCGTGACAGCTACTGTTGTGATTACTGTTATCAAAATTAGGCCTTTTAACCTCAAGGGGTAAACATTGGTAAGAGTATTCCAGACTTTCCTGTCTTGTGAGAATAGTGGAGCCCTTCCTGGTGGCTCTGAGGCAGTGTTTATAACCTCCATCGTGTTGTCCTGGACTCCGGACAACTTACTCAGCCCTAGCCTTAGGGTCTTGGACTCAGGACAGGTTACTCAGCCCTAGCCTTAGGGTCTACTGCTATTAGATGAACAGTATTTTTCCTTTATGCCATAGGAGATCTTGGGTTGCTTCTTAGAAATAGTCTCTCTCTTGCCTTGTCAAGACAAGAAGCTTCCCAAAATGCACCCTCAGTAAACACGTCCTATTGGTTGTTGGCAGTTATCACTAGGCCCGTTCGAAGTGCCCAGAAAGTAGGAGCTACTACGCACTGAGGCCTGAAGCCCAGCGGGATGGCAAACAGCTGGGTTCTGGGCAGACAGGGAAGACTGCCTCTGCCCAGGCTGATCCTGGAAGCTTCTGACTCTTGTGCAAGCCTTGGGAGAGAGACGCTTTCCAGTGCCTGGGTGAGGCTGGGCTGGAATGCACTAACATGACGGTACATGGGTGGCAATTTAGAGTTTGCCAAGTGGGAATTTCACATGAGCAGGGACTTGTGGACCTCTCAGATGTCCAGAGACGATCTGATTCTTAGTTTTTTGAGGGGTGATCCTGGGCAAGTCTATGACCATTCTCAGCTAGAAAAACAGGAGTTTTCTTAACAGCACACACCCCTGTCAGTTTGAATCAATATAATAATGTAATCATGGATGCAAGATGTATGGCCCAGCCTGGAGCACATAGTACGCACTCAGGGAATGGTTGCTGTCATTGTAACCCTGTCCTTCCCATGGAGAAACTTCCCT